CTGGAGGGAAAAACAAGGTCAAATTTGAAGGTTTCTGGATTCTTGTTTCCTGCTTTGATCCACAGTCCAAGCAACTCTCCTGGGCAGAGGGGAGTGGGGGCCCTGGGGCCCTGGCATGACACCAGACCCAGGAGTGGAGACCTGAGAATGAGGCTGTGGACCTGGTGCCCCTCCCATGCCTGGCGTTCTTTTGTTTAGATGTATAAGAAAGTGCCGCTTGGCTCCCAGCATCGTGGGACACTCCCAAACACACACACCAGTCCCCCTCCCCACACACACACCAGTCCCCCTCCCACACGCACACACCAGTTCCCCCTCCCCTATAGCTCAGAAAAACATGCTGTCAGCAACCTTCACATCCTATCCAGCCTCGGGGCCAGAGGCCAAGAGGGGCACATGGGCCTTCGGCAGCTTTCCAAGATGGCCAGCCTCCAGCTCCTGCCTCTGCCACGATGGACCCGCTGCCAGGCACAAGGGGAGATCCAGCTGAAACCCCACAGCTTTTTATGGGTTCATGTCCACACAGGACAAGGGTAGCTGCTGGTGCCACTTTGTAGCCATGCAGGGCCCACTCTGTGTGCCAGAGCCACCCCAGAGAGGGGCAGCAGTCATCTCCAGGGAGTGAGGTCCCAGACTATGTGTCCACAAGAGCGAGAGTCACCTATTTCCACAAGGCAGGAAGTTGAGGGACACACAGTGTGGACAGAGGACCCTAGGATTTCTGTTTCTGGAATATTCATCGCCTCTAACTGAACTTCTGTCAGAGATCCCAGAGCTGGCACGTGATAGCCAGTCCACGTCTAAAGTCCGTAAATACCTTACAAACCGTTTGGGTCCTGCAGAATTCTGGTCATGCCTGAGGGGGCTACAGCTTGTAAGCCACAAGCCCTTGTGTCTTAGCAGAGCCCAGTACACAGCAGGCAATCGCTAAAAGCTAATATTCCTTACAGTCAACAAACGCGCCCCTGAGGTCAGGATGGGGCCTTCACGAAAGCTGTCTGTGGTGCTGGTGACTAAGCCAGCGACCTTGGGTCTGCTACAGAAATACTCTACCACTTAGACTCCATGATGGGCCTCAAAGCAGAAAACTGTAGACAGCCACAAGAACTTTCCATTTTCTCAAGAGCATGGCTCCCTGCCCTGCAGTAAAAGACATGGCATAAAGGAAGGCCCAGCCAGGTAAGGATGCTTGCCACCATGCCTGACAAACTGAGGCTGATCCCCAGACGCCACATGGTAGGAAAGAAATGACTGACTAAATAAAGAAACGTAATTTTAACAAACAAAAGCTGAAAATAGCGGCACACGCCAACAACTGGGAGAAAAAAAGGAATCCCTTCAAGATCCAGCTTCAGTTACATAGTGGGTTCGAGATCAGCCTAGGCTACATGAGACCCTGTCTGGCCTCACACACAGGCACACCCCGACACACACACATACACGCATGCACACACGCACGCACGCGCGGATATATATATAGGTCCTCGCCGCACCTGAGGCTGGCTCATCCATGGAAAACGCCTTGTTCTCCACAAACATGCTCTGGCCTGTCTGCTCTTTGAGGATGGTCTCGTAGCCCACGCCTCGGGTAGGGTACATGTCCCCCTGGTAGCTCTGCTCAGGGCTGGGTTTGGTCACCTGGGAGACCTCAGGGATGACATAGAAGAGGACAAAAGTCCAGGCATTGGCAGCAAGGGCGATGGCCAGCGTGGGGTCATCCCAGGTGGGGCTGTGGCGTTGCTTATTGCCGTAGGTGTACATGACGATCCACACGACCCAGATGGCAATGGAGAGGGCTGTGGTGAGAAGCGCAAAGACTCCGTGCTTCCGCCAGCGCTTAAAGCGGCCGCACAAGGCGGGCCAGGCTCCTAGGAAGGCTGCCAGCAGCAGCAGCATGACGTAGATGAGCGCCATGACGAAGTCCATATTGGCGATGGCACAGGGCGAGGTCACGGTCCAGTCGGCACTGCCATTGCCCAGAGGGCCAACCTGGCCACCTCCCCGTACCAGGGTGATGATCAGCCACTCGGTGTTGATGATGACCTCCACGAGGGTGAGAAGCAGGGCGACGGTGAATATCACCCAGCCCCGGGGTCCATGGTTCTTCCGGGCTAGGAAGTTAAGGGCAAAGACATGGGCGACCAGGCAGGAGAAGCAGATGGCAAACAGGACCCCAAAGAGGAAGCGTCGAGAGGCGCAGGTGGCGAAATCAGGCTTTACCACGCAGGCAAACACAAGGCAAAAGAGGCCCAGGGTGCCCAGCAAAAAGAACACCTGGGTCCCCAGGAGGCTCCGCTTCTTCGTGTCCTGCACAAACGGAAGGCTGGCCACCAGGATGACAGTGAGCACAAACGTGGTGATGATGCCAGCGCCGGCCACCGCCTCCAAGACGATGCCCCATGCCCCAGCGCGGTCACAAAGGTTATAGTAGAGTGGATCCAGGTCTGGGCCGCAGCCAGGTGGGGCATGGTTCTGGGCCCAGGCCCCAGGGAAGAACAGAGGCAGTCCTAGGCACATCAACAAGGTTTTGTGGGTGGCCATCCTGGCTCCCAGGCCAGGCTGGGTCCCTAGAGACAGGAAGAACAGGCAAAATCAGTTCTCCAAGGTCAGACCTCAATGAGCACAGTAGTGCTCCCCATCCTGAACAAGAGTGATCAGGAGACATACCCCTCTAGGCTTTGGAATCCTTATTTTATGTATTTTTAATTTAAAAGAATTATATTTTATGTGCATGGTGTTTTGCTTGCATATATGTCTGTGCGCCCACGTGTGCCTGGTGCCTGCGGAGGCCAGAAGACTGTGTTGGATCCTGCGGAACTGGAGTTAGGATGGTTGTGAGCCACCGTGTAGGTACTGAGAACTGAACACAGGTCCTTTAGAGAAGTAACAAGTGTTCTTAACCACTGAGCCGTCCCTCCAGTTCTTCAGAGTCCTTCTTAGCCCAGAATTCACGAAGGTTTGCCAGCTGAGCAGACAGATGAGGTCCATCTGCCACCCCTGTCCCCTGTTCCCTTTTCTTTCTTTTCTTTTTCTGGTTTTGTTTTTGTTGTTTTTTTTTTGTTTTTGACAAGGTTTCTCTGTAGCAGTCTAGATCAGGCTGGTCTTGAACTCACAGAGTGCTGGGATTAAAGGTATGAGCCACCACACCCAGCTGTCATCCCTAATCCTAACCATGGAAAAGAAGAAATTTCTTTTAACTGCTGGGGAGATGGCTCAGTGGTAAAGAACACCGGGTGCTCTCCCAGAGGACCCAAGTTTGAATCCCAGCACCACATGATGGCTCACAATCGTCTACAACTCCAGACACCGGGAACCTGAGCCTGGTCTCCTCAGACACTGCACAGACAAGGTGCACATACACACATGCAGGCAAAACACTCATACACATAAAATAAAAATAAACCTTGGGGTGGGGCCCACCAATGAACACTCAGTGCTTTAACCCATCAGAACCCGGGTTTACTCCACTCAGCATGGTCCTTTCTGCCTGGGGACTTCCAGGTAAGATACGACACCCCTCAACTAAATCCTGGAAATGCCTAAGTCCAGGGCCAGTCTGAGCTCCAAAGCAAGTTCCAGACTGCTACTGAGAAGTTCAGTTCTTGTCAACTTGACCACACCTGGAATGAACTAACGCCCCAATGGCTGGGCGCACTTTCTCAAGTAAATCATTTGAAGTGAGAAGACACGCCTTCAATGTGGGCCACACTTTCTGCCGGCAGCCTATATAAAGGACAAGTTCTCTCTGTCTGCTTGCCCTCACTCTCACTGGCAGGTCCATTCCTTCACTTCACAGGCCCATTACATCACACGTCTCTGGGATTCTAGACTATACTGAAGACCAGCGGAGACATCCAGCCTGGAGAACTGAACAACTGCTGGATTCTCGGGCCATCCGCCGGTAGGCGGCCATTGCTGGACTAGCTAGGGCACAGCCTGTAAGCCATATGTAATCGCTCATTCTGTAAGTTCTGTCCTCTAGAGAACCCTGACGAACGCGGCCACTCAGGCACGTGTTCCTATATTCAAAGCCTTTAAGGATCACTCACAGCGCAAAAGAAGAGAGCTGAAAATTCCTCGCTCCACTGTTCTGATTTGCTTTCTGTTGCTTCGAGAAACACAATGACCAGAAGCAACTTGAGGAGGAAAAGGTTTATTTGGCTTACAGGTCACGGTCCACCATCAGGGGAAGCCATGGCAGGAACCTGGAGACAGGAAATGAACAGAGCCCACGGGGGAATGCTGCTCACCGGCTCACTTTCCTTAGCTTGTTTACGTACCCTTTTCTTTTCGCTGTTTGTTTATTCATGAGGCGGATTCTTGCTAGGTAGCCCAGGCTGGCTGGAACTCACTACATAACCCAGGCTACCTGGCTCAGACTCCTGAGCGCTAGGATTACAGGTATAGGATACCAAGACTAGCTTTTGGTTTTTTCACTTTTAGTGCCAACTTGCCTCTTCAGACCTAGAGTTCATTGTCTGGTTCGGTACTAAAGACAAGGAGAACATAAACGGATCCAGGCTGGAGAGATGACTCAGAGGTTAAGAGAACTGGCTGCTCTTTTAGAGAACCCAGGTTGGATTCCCAGCACCTACACGGTGGCTCACATTCAACTGTAACTCCGGTTCCAGGGAATGTGACGTCTTCTTCTGGCCTTTGTCAGCATCAACTATGTAGATGGTGCACAGATATACATGCAGACAAGACGTTCACACAGAAATAAAAATAAAATAAATCTCTTAAAAAGAAAAGAATCAAAACAAAACCAAACAAGCAGGAGCTGGGTGCAGTAATACACATCTTTGATCCCAGCGCTCCAAAGGAGGCAAGAGCATCCCTGTGGAGGTCAGCCTGGTCTATACTGTGAGTTCCAGGCCAGCACTCCACAGAGAGAACCTGCCTCAAAAAAGCTACACACACACACACACACACACACACACACACACACCCCAGAACCCCAAAGGGATTAATCTTTAATGAAAGACTTTAAGACACTGTAGTGAAAGGTGGGAAAATGGTCTATTTATTAACACCAGAAAGGTAACAACAGATCACCACATGCTCACTGTAGCCATACCAAATGTCGCAGATCTGTGCCAAGGAAGAAAATCAAAGCTGGCTGCCCAGAACAGTTTCCCCGTGTGAAGGGAAGGAGGTCGTGGGTTAAGAAAACTTCAAATCCGGGGGACTAGGCTGCAGCTCAGTGCTGGACACTCCCCTGGCGTGGGTATAAAGTTCTAGGTTCCATTCTTAGCACTGCTCCCTGCCCCTCCAGGAGGGACACATTTGGTGAATTTTCCATTCAAAGCTTTAAACTGATTTGGAAATGGTAGTAGTTTGAATGAGGATGGCCCCTTAGGCACCTATATTTGAATGCTTTTTTCCCCATTGGAGGAACAGGGAAGGTTTAGGAAGCAAGGCCTGGTGGGCAGAGGTGTGTCACCGGGGATGGGATTTAAGTTTTCAAAAGTCCAGGCCATTCTTGAAGGTAAGGACGTGAGCTCTCAGCTACTGCTTCAGCCTGGTGCCTGCTGCGAAGATCCCCACTGTGATCTTGGCCTCCAATTCTCTGAAACTGTAAGCAAACCCCCAGTAAATTCTTTCTTCTATAAGTTGTTTCAGTCATAAAAGACAGAGCTCTAACATAGAAGGTTTAAAGGCTCTAAAATAAACTACTATGAAGTCCAAATTCCCTGTCACGTAGATCCTCCGTGTGTATAGTAGGTACCCGACACGTTAAGAAACTAGTTATAACTGGACAGGCTCAGTGGTGCGTGCAGTTGGACAGACATGGTAACGCATACCTTTAGCCCCAACATTTGAGGGGAAGAAGTAAATGGGGCTCTATGAGTTTGAGTCTACATAGTTTTAGGCCAGCCAGGGGTACATGGAGAGCAAAAGGAGGGCTGAAAACAAAAGAAGCAAGGTGGTGGCGGCATACGTCTCTAATACCAGCACTTGGGAGGCAGAGGCAGGCAGATTTCTGAGTTCAAAGCCAGCCTAGTCCAGGACAGCCAGAACTACACAGAGAAACTCTTATCTTGAAAAACCAAAATAAAAAATAAATTTTTAATAAATATTTTTAATAAATAAATAATAAATTTAAAAAGGAGTATCTCTCCTGCTTAGCCAGGGCGAAGGCCCCCCGAAGCTAGCAACCAAACTTTCCTTGGATGACAGCATCCACTAGTGGCTACCAAAGGCATGGCACTATCTATGTTACTAAATGCTTCCTCCAATGCCCAACTATTTATTTATTCATTATTCAGTTTGAGGCAGGGCCTTGCTACTCATCCCTGGCTGGTCTCAAAGTTGTGGGAATCCTCCTGCCTCAGCCTTCTGAATACTGGGGACATAGGCTCGAGTCACCACTCCTAGCTAATTTTTAATATGCACACAAAATGTCAAGTTCCTGTTTGATAGAAAATTCCATCCATAACTGATAAATGGAAAGTCACTAAATCAGGGAAAAATGACACAGTTGTGAAGGTCAATCCTGACAGTTGACTCAGCAGGATCTAGAACAGCCTAGGAGACAAGCCTGGGCGGTGCTGTGAGACTCTATCTAGATTAGGTTAATGGAGATGAAAAATGTGGGTGGCACCATTCCCTGGACTGGTGTATAGGATGGGAGGAGGAGAGAGTGAGCCAGGGGCCGGCATTCACTGCTCTCTGCTTCCTGACTACAGAGACGGTGTGGCCGCCTGCCTCAGGCTCCTGCTGCGGGAGTCAAACTCCTCAAGGGGGCGTCTTCTCAGTTATTTTCTTACAAGAAAAGCAACCAATACACAAATTTAAATGAAACTGACATAATAAAGATGATCAGTCTTCACTTTTTTCTTGCCCCGCCTCCTTTCGTCTTTAAAGAAAATTGTGTATGGGTGTTTGGCCTGCCTATTTGCCCAGGTAGTGCCATAGAGGCTGGAGCTGGAGCTGGAGTTACAGATGGCTGTAAGCAGCCATGTGAGTGCTGGGAACTAAAGGGTCCTCTGGAAAAGCAGCCAGTGCTCTTACCCTCTGAACTATCACAGTAACCCCCCCTTTGTCATTTTATATAGTCATTCATTTATTTTGAGAGTCTCAAAGTGATAGCTCAGAACAGCCTCAAATGTGTGACAATCCCCTTGCCTCAACCTCCAGGGTGCTGTGCTGGGGGTTACTGTACTTTAAGCCATCCCAGCTTTTGCCCCTTGAAAAAGTTTCAGGTCCCAGCAAGGTGGCACGTACCTGTATTCCCAGCACTGGGGAGGTGGAGGCAGGAGGATCAGGAGTCCAGATCCCTGGCTACAGTGAGCCAGACAGACATCAGTCAGAACCACAAGAAATCCTGTCTCAAAAAACAAGA